TTATTGGGGGGGGGGAGGGGGGGCAGCAGGTGAGGAGATAACTCACCCTCTCCTGAACATGCCAGCATAGGTGGCACAATCAGTACATAGGGTAGCTAATCTGTTGTTAATATTGACAACAGAGGAGGAGAAAACAGACAACAACCAACAAACAACACGATCCCAGGCCCGGTCCCCGGACAGTACAGCTGATGTCTACCCCTTACTAAATCCAGACTCTTTAATTAATCTTTTAGCATTCACCTATTTCCTAACATCAGTTCAGGAAATCTCTGCTGGTGAACTGATTGAGGAAGAAAGTTTAATCGTGGAGCGGTATGTGAGCGACCACCGGTGAAATGAATCGCCAGATTTCACATTCCCAGATTCATGCTGTTTAAAGGTCAGGCAAGGTCATTCGATCTAGGCTGACTTCACATATACCACAGACTATTAAATTAGATCCCATCACCCTTCAATTGAGCCCAATAAGTAAGGCTGTTAGTCTGGATTTGAAGACATCAGGAAAAAGAGAATCCACCACTTCCCATGAATATTTGTTCAAATGATTAATCACCCTCACTGTTAGCAATCACTCTCTTATTTTTCATTTGCCTTTGTCTGGCTTCAGTTTATAGGTGTTGCCTTTCTCTGATAGATTAAAGAGATCTTTGGTGGCAGCCTCTCTTCCCAAGTAGGTATTTCCATTCCATAATCAGGTCATCTCCCAATCTTTTGTTTGATATTCTAGACAGATTGTGATCTTTAAGAGTCTCACACTATAATTTTCTCCAGACAGTCAAACACATTTGCGATTCTTTTCTGCACCTCTCTAATTTTTCTATATCTTTTTAAAATGTGGACACACAAGTGGCCCTCTAGTATTAATCTTAGTATCAAGGTGTCATATACAGAGGCAAGATAACCTCCTTTTCCCGCCACTCACACCTCTCCTTTCTGTACATCCGAGGATTTCATTAGCCCTACTTACTGCAATGAAACCCAGTTATTTATCAAAGTCCTGCATTCTGTAACTATGGCCCATGTTGCAATATGTACATGTTTGTATTTAGCTATATTAAAACACTTTTTGCCTGAATAGGCCCAGTTTATCAAATAACTCGAACAGGGCTATATGGCTGTTCTTCCCTCGCTATTACCCACTACCATACCAATGTGTGACTAATCAAAGGTGGGGCTTCATCTATTCCAGATCATTCATAAAACATGTTGAACATCATTAAAGCCAAATGGTTCTAGTTCTGGGGGTCAGATTCAAACTCTATTTTATTGGAAGCAGCACATAAACTCTACAGCCACTACCATTCCTCAACCTCCCCAGCATTTTCAGGTTTTCTATAGCAGTTCCTAACCAAAACATATGGCCAGATTCAGCAAACCCAATATTCTCACTAAAGAGCATTAATTTGTGTGGGCAATCCCATCAATTTTTGCGGAAACATCTGAAGGGCTCGGCTGCAGGATTTGGCCCTAGCTTATTTTGCAGTCCTCCCTTCTCAGTCAACCCCAAATGCCCCATCATGTAAGCTGTTTTCAAAAGCACTGTAAGAAAATTTGGAAGAGTCCTAACCAAATGCTTTGGTCAAAACTCCCTAAGATTCAACTGTAGATTCAATCTCCACAGTAGTACAAACTACAACTCTCAATGGAATGAGACTGTTTCACAGGTATGGCAAACTGGACCTGCATTTTGTCCTCCCAAGTACTCTGATGTCATTTTTGCCCCCTCCAAAACCCCTAGACCTACAAATGCAGAATCAGAGACCTTGTAAATCCAGATCCTCATCCAAATAACCTTATTAGGGCTCCCTTCTCAAACATGGTCACCCAGTAAATAAAAGGAACTGAACTCTTACTTGCTTAAGTTTCCTTTTGCCAAGAGTGATGTAAGAATCAAGGAAGTGTTTTGGTTGTGGTAACTGCTCCTTTTTCTGCCAGGAAGGATTTATAATTGCTTTCTGACTTACTCCAGTGGCTCAATATGGTGAGAAAGAGAGTGTAGGGTGGCAAAATATATAAAGGAAAAGTAGAAGAGAGAATGATAAAAGAGGAGGCAGAAGCAAAGGAAACAGCATAAAAAAATAAAGGCACATATGCAAAGTCTGCAGGGCAGGGATGAAGCCTTTTGTAGATGGTAGTACAACACATCGTATGGGATCCTAATCTTTTCTGGGACCCCTAAGTGCCACTATAATACAGTAACATCAACAAAGGATTGAGCAACATTAAAACTGGAAAAAATATGTGAGCTAAATATGTAATGTAGGTTACAAACAGAAGAAAGGAATTCTAATTATGGGTTTGTTTGTTTTAGGGGTTTTTTTAAAACTATTTTTGTTTTAACATGCTGTAAAACCAAACATGTGGAAGACAGAGATAAGGAAAAATGGGCAAAAGAAGGGAAGGGGGCAGAGCGCCAGAAATGCAAGCAAGTAAAGGGGCATAAACATTACCAAAAAGTAAAAAAAAAAAAAATGACAGAGCAAAATACCTTTAGGAATGAAATTCTGGCCCTGTTAAATCAAGGGGAATTCTCCCCTAATTGATTTGAGAGGGGAGTCAAACATAGGTATTGTGGGCTGGATGCAGTCCATGGAGCCACTTCATCCAGTCCACCAGGCTACCCGAAGTGGAGGCCACGGCTTGAAGGGGCATAGCTCTCACAGAATCTGGGCCCCTCGGTCCTGGCTGACATAGCCATCAGTGGCAGGGGGGTAAGCAAGGACTGTGCCAACATAGCCTCACCTGCCTTACAGACAGTTGGCCTGCCATCCTTTGTCCTACCACCGCCAGTCCTGCTGCAGTCCCCACCATTGTCCTCGCCACACCTGCCACTGGTGTCACCAATGCCACTCCATGACCTGGGTCAGATCCAGCCCACAAAGGAGTTCTGTGGTCCAAGTCCAGACCAGGACATGGGGTGAGTCTGACACCCTTGCCCTACTCATTGCAAGAAAGCAAAATGCTTTGCATTTAGTATTCCACAACAAAGGTGAATCTGTTTTCTTTTTTTCCCCCAAATATTTTGAGCTAACAAAGATTGAAATTACTGCAGAGCCAAACAAGACAGGTGTCTCAATCTGTGTCCTAAAAATAAGGGCTGAGGACCAAATAAAGAAGGGAAGAAATGATAAATGAAGACAAGGCCAATCTTTCCACCTGCATGTGGTTAGTACCATGGTAGACAGGAATATGTGTGGTGTTTTACTCTGTGACTTACGTGTTTGAAGTCAAGCACATATAATTGTATGTAGACTCAGAAGCTTACACCCAAATGAACGAGCACTCTGCTGACTGGCATTTCCCATCCCAGATTGCAAACTCTGCACCTTACTTAAGCTTCTGCTACCCAGATCCTGACAGCTATTTCATTATTTCTGGCAGCTAACAATGAAACGCAGCATGAGATCTATGTGCAAGGGTGCTGCACAGCAGTTGAACTCTCACAGTGATAACTGACCTTTGGTAAAGATAATGAGATTGGATCTAAATAATTTAGATAAATAGCTTCAGTCATTTTGTTGAAAATGGCATTTTTATAGAAACAAAGACCGTTTCTGTTCACAAAATATTAAGTGGTTATGCTCTGGTCTTCAGTGTGCTTTCAGTGGCCAACAGAACCATTCTGCATTCTTTTAATTATAAAATCTGGAGATGCTGGTCTTTTATAATTGCTTCTGTGAATTGGACATAAAGTGTCTTGTTTAATTATTTACTGGGCCAGCAGCACAGTCTTTCCAAGCACCAAAACAATACCAGGCTTGTTTATAACCTATCCTCAACAGAAAAAACAAATGCTCTATTTGACATCAAGAGCACAAATGTAACTCAGTTTTAATGTATTAGCTGCTAATCAAGCCTTACGTGAAAACAGTGAAATGCGTTTTATTTCGGTGGTGCCAACCGATGCTGGGAACAGAGGCGCGGATGTACCCAGGAAGTAAACAGAAAAGGAGGGGAATGGGAACTAAACAGCATGAGCACTGTGAATTGGCAGCAGCCCTTCCCTAGTCCTACCATGTCTTTGTGGCTCTGGTATAGCAGGGGATGTGGCTGGCCAGCAATGCGAAGGCTGAGCTGCAGAACAGATGCTTTAGGCAGCATGCTGCACAAACACATTTTACAGCACAACACTCCATATACAACTTCTTCCTTGTGAGGGGTTAAGAATAGCAAGCACAACTAAAGGGGCTACTGGCCACCTCTGGTCCAGGCCACGTAGGTATATAATAGATGGAATTAAATCAGGTTAAGTTCTAGTCTCCAGTTTAAATGCTTCTGCCAACAATACCAAAGAGCAAGAATCTCCATCTTTGCAGCCTGCCTAGATGATCCTGTGCTGTGTGTTATTATCATTTCACAGTTTCACTGCCTGTAGCAGCACAGTCGTACCAGAGCCAGAAGCCACAGATTTTGGAGTCAGTCCAGTGGGTTTGGGAAGATCCCCAAAAGCTTGAGATTTAGTCTGGCATGGGCTGTGCTCCACTTCACCTCAGGGCATGTTTAAATTTGTGGCATGCCAAGTACTAGATGTAACGATGTCCGAATCAAAGATTTCAGTCTAGCACGATATGCAAATTTTAGACAGACAAGACTCCAGCAACCCTGGGCTCTCAACTACCCCCTTTTTTTTTTCTTTTTCAGTCTTGGATCCAGTTCCCTCTTTCTTCTAGAGATTTCTTTCTTTGGCATAAGATTTCAGCAGAGAAGGAAAATATGGCACTATCTATGAACCACCTCTGATACTTCATTATAACAATTCAGCAAAAAGGATAATAAAACACCAAACTAGATCCAGCGTAAACAGACACTAGAAATGCTGTGAAAAAAAATGCAGGGAAGATGAAGGAGATGGGTAAATGCCCACAAAGCCTGACCTGTCATTATACAAAGGGGAAGGCTGATGACAATACAAAGCCCCCATTTAGTATTTCCAAAGTAGAAAGCAAAACACAACAGAATATCCCACTCAGCTAACGTATAGTAGACATGGAACTAACCTTATAGAGCAACGGTGATTGTCCGAGCTTCAAAAGTGCAATTTTATTAGTCACATTTGTAATGACACGGATCTGGACCAAATCTTCAACAGTCCCATACTGCACATCGACGAGTTCTGCCTGAAGATGGAAAAGATCGTTTAAACGATACTTAAAGCCACTGACCGAGTAGTTTGCTTTTGCACCTGAAACAGTTACCTCCAGAGTAATACACTAATACATCAAAAATCTACTAGTGTCTTACCTCCATTTCTCAAAGCATGCTTTTAAAATCAAATCCTGAAATTCAAAGAAAGAGAACCTTGCATTTTGTCGCATTATTTTAAAAGTGTATTGTTTTTTATATCCAGAAAGCATGAAAACGACTGGTATTTTGTAACAAAACTGAAATGGGGACAATAGTTTCAGGTAAAATGTAAAGAACTAGTGGTGCACACATTTTACTTGAAGAACACGATAAAAGTAAAGTTGAAGATGTTTTCAGGCTACTGGAAAATATTTCATATTTTTACCTACACTGATAAGCCCATCTGAAAAGCTCTTTCTGAAAGAACATGAAAGTGCAACACCAACTGGGGAGAGAAAATTTACTACGCGTGTATTCACATTTATACACAATTTTGCATTTTTCATCTCAATTCTTCTTTCATGAGTGTCCTTAGAAAATGTATGCTGCAATAATTACTTGGAGCCTTCGAAGTCAGAATGGTTTGAAAGGTTACAATAAAAATATGTAGACTGTTTTTTGAGGAGACCTCTGATCTAGTTCCTTTGTGAAACGTGCCTTTCCCACTTACCCTCAAGCAAACTGAAAATCACAGTGTTTGCTGTTCAGATGAGAGGAACCATATTGAATTTTCCTGAGGCACAAATCAATATACAAAGATACGATAGAGTAATGTGTCAAAGCCATTTGCTTCTGCAATGTGCCTCTCTCATTTATATTCAAGCTGTCTCTCCCCATATCATTCCCACTAGCTAGTCCTAGTTAAGTGCCTCCCACTTCTTGGTTCCTTTTCAACACTACAGAACCATTTATACAAGTCCTGCTGCATTCAACTGTCCTCATAAATTATGATCAAACTTCCAGGTGAATATTGTATCCTGATCACAATATGTACCCTGGTTCTCTAAAGTTAATAACCTTCTCGGGAAGAACTACCTGATTGAAAACTTGCAAAAACCATTATTCAGATTTTTGTTTCCTGAGCACCTGAATGGTGTTGACTGCTGTACAAAGTAATGAAGATGACATGTCCTGTGCTTCAGAGAACTTACAATATAAATTAAATATTGGGTTAAAATGGCAGGGTAGTTCAGCATTTCAATCACACACCTCCAGTTGCAGATAGCATGGATTATTAAAATAAAAAAAATGGTCGGGTATATCAGATATTATTGCAAGCACATGCTTAATTATTAAAGTAAATTAATTACATGTTTTCCACTTGAAGGTACTGCCAGAGGTCCCAATATTCATTATGGGTGTTGAAACAAATGTGTATATCAGCTAGGACTTCTGCCACTGTCATGACTTTAAGGTTCTTACATTCCTGTATTCCACTTTAAATTTCAACTAGTTTTTTCTTACATCTAATTTTACCTTTTGGGAGAGATGGTTACCCACAGAGTACATGACTATCAGCTGCATCACCAAATCCAACCATCTCAGTAAGGTGTCATATAGAGTCAGCAGGAGCACTTACTTAAAAGACACTCAAAAGAAGTTTGTATAACAAAACATCAGAGGGACGAAAGAAATCACTACACTAAAATTTAGTGTGCAGTATTTGAAAGGAAATAAAAGTAACAAAATCTTGGGTAGAACTCCACAGGACAAGGGCAATGGCTGCTACTAAGTGAATTACTAAACAGAGGCTTAGGAAAATTATATAGATTTGGTAGCATGTTTTAGAGACTCAAAGGGGTTTTAATTACACTCGGTATAACCATGGGAAAGCCCCACCCAAAGGCTTCGCTAGAGTCTGGAATTAAGGGCAGAACTTGGTCATTGAAGTATTTAATGACAACTGCTCATTAAATACCTTATAACCTCATTAGTTCAAGGTCAGTCCTTTATGCTTCTTTAGAGCTCCGTACAATGGAGCGAACTTTAAGTACTAACATAATAGATATCATCAACAATAACAACAGAAATGCTAAGGGGCAGTGTTATTTGAAGAACTCTACCCCTGTCAATAATCTATTCAGAAACGTATTTCATTTTATGCATGGTTCAACTCTATTTTAATTATATATATCCCTAACTTGAAAAAGATTAATATAATAAATAAAAAGCAGATGCTGAGTTTTGTTTTTGATTTCAATGATGATTACTGTGTGGCATAATCCTAATCTTATACATTTTAAATATTTTACAGAGACACACATTGGCGGCAAACTATAATAAACTGCTTTCCTTCAGCAGAATAATGCTGCTTAAAAACAAAGAAAAATATCCTTTTATCGGATACTGAAAAAGAACACTTTTATACATGGTTCAGATATGCACTGGTAAATCCTCTTATCCTAAAATTGGGAAGCTACAAAACAATGAGTTATTTCATCCATCTGAATTGGATACTTACTCTTTGAATTGTCCCATGGTATGTAGTTTGAAAGATATGACTATTTAAAACCAAATTGCAGTGTGCTCTATGGAGTTAAGTAGCATCCCCCCATGCATGAAATGAAGTAAAAATAGGTAACACAACAAACATTTTTAGAAGAACAAATCCTTTCACAGTAGATCTATTGTTCATTTTTAAGATGGTGTGTGGTGAGCTGTAATGATATAATTTCAGCCAAAAATTATGTTAACCCTCTCCTTCTGCCCTTCCAAAAAAACCCCCATCAGGACTGCCAATCAAATCCAGCACTTCAAAGTGAGGAGATGCCGCAACAAACTTTCTAGTACACCCTTGATTTGCCCACTGTGTGCATATATATTACGACTGTGCGAAGTGACTTGTATTTGCTACAAATTCAGCTGATTTGGAGGACAGTGATTCAATTCAGTGATTTGAAGCACTGCCACAAATCAATTCAGCCAAATCCAATTTAGAGATTGGGCTGCTGCCAAATTGGCTGAATCTCCGAATCAAACAGGCCCCATCCCTTGCCCACTCTCCTAGCCCCATCAATGGCTGCCCCACCCGGCCCCAGTGTCCTGGATCTTTAAAAAAAACAAAACCCACACTCACCAGCTCCTGCCAGGCAGGGGGGACAATCCCTGTTGTACCCCACTTCCCTGTGCTGCATGGGGGACTCTGCCACGAGCCCCCAGAAGCCCCAATGGCTGCTGCAGCAGCCAGTGAGTGCGGGAATTTAAAAAAAAAAAAAAAAA